CGTGGTCCTAGGAGCACTGGAGTGGGGCTGCATGATCCACTAGCGCATGCAAGCTGCTTCCTGAGAAACGTAGGTGAGAATGGCTCAGGCTGGGGCCAGTCTTGGCCGTCCCTATGTGAGATTCACAATCCCATCCTCGGCATGTGGTGGCACTTTCTCTTGTCTTTCACCTTTCCTGAATTCTCATTGTATCTGTTAGGGTGCTCACTGGAAGGACAGTTCCTGAAGCTGAGGCTCCAATACTTTGGCCGCCTCATGAGAAGAGAGGACTCCCTGGAAAAGACCCTAATGTTGGGAAAGATGGAGGGCACAAGGAGAAGGGGACGACAGAGGACGAGATGGTTGGATGGTGTTCTTGAAGCTACCAGCATGAGTTTAACCAAACTGCGGGAGGCAGTGGAAGACAGGAGTGCCTGGCATGCTCTGGTCCATGGGGTCACAAAGAGTTGGACACAACCAGATGACTAAATGACAACAACAGAATATCCAAGTGTGTTGCTGTACACTGTGGAGGCAGAGGAGATTATTTTTTGCAGGATTAATTCCCCTTGGTTGAGTTCAAGCTCAGATTCTCAGTAACTCTGGGAAGTTCAGTGGAATCCATCTGTTTCACAAAGTTCCTGGCCACTACTGAAATGATGTAGTTTTAACGAAACTCTGTCTTCTGTTGGTATTGCCTAATCTCTTACTATGTTCTGAAATAAGTGACAGAGCTGAAATTTCTGGGCTATAAATTGTCAAGGCTGTTATTCTTCAGCCAGCCTTCTGTGTCTTGATTCAGATTTCCATGGATATCACCATCCCTGCTGTGGTCTTCTTGACCCTCTCCTGCTGCCTTGCACCTGCAGAAGCCCAATTCACTGCTTCTCTTCTCACTGTGTCAAATGGAGGAAAGTGGGGTACCTGGGGGCCGCTGAAATTTTGTCCACAAGGATATTTTGCTAATGGCTTCTCATTGAAGGTAAGGTTTGCTCCTGAGTTGTTGTCACATCTAGCTCTATCTAAATTTAGTTCTCTCCTTTCTTTCTGAACACTCCCCAGAACATAGTTCAAGACCCAGTGTTTTCCCCCCTCTAAAAAATGTTTAGGGGTACTCTCATTTTGACTCAAGAAAATAACCATTTTATGGTTCAAATTGGGAAAAATAAATACAGTAAATGGAACCTGTGTGTTAGGTAGGGAGGTCGTGAGCCATTGGCACCAGTGACCTTTGGGCCAAATATGGCCAATGAAGTCCTTCCAACAGCCTCAGTTTGACTCAGAGCAGCCTTATTGAAATTAATATTCATTAGCAGAGTTCTTTAACATCAGTGTAAAGCTTATCTGAATAACACCCCCTATTTTCAGCACCCCCCCCCCACTGCTAGTGGTCTGAGCTAGAAGACAGGGCATGGATAATTCCAGCTGAAAACTGTTGGATCCCCACCATGTTAATTGCATTTGTTAACCATGAGTTCAATGAGATCTGTTTGACTCTGATTTCAACGGGACACTGATTTCAACGAGACTAAGCATAACTAACTTGGTGTGGATTCAACCCTGTGTCCCTTAGCCATTATTTATATGAGCAGTACTACAATCCTAGCTTTATCTTCATGTTTATTAAATCTCTTTCTGTCTTCTCTCACTAGGTGGAGTCAGACGAAGTTCCTGGTGATCAAACAGCCCTGAATGGAATACGCTTACACTGCACTGACGGTTCAACAATTGAGTCTAAAGTTGGATCATGAGTAGCTTTCTTGCTTTCTTTTGGGTGTAATTGTTTGGAAGGTGGTGGGAAAGGCTGAGATGAAATTATTTATGCTGGGTTAGATAAGCAGCACGAAAAGGTAAAAGTCGGGATTCATCTTGCTTCTTCTAAGCTCTCAAAGGGTATTAACTCTACAATTTTGCTGTTTCATCTAAGGCCCAGACAATCTTAAGTTGAACCATCTAATAAATATTGCGAATGAAATACCAAAGCAATATTTTACAGTTTGATATACCCATGTAATAATAATAATAATAATAATAATAATAATTTTATTTATACCCCGCCCTCCCCAGCCAAGACCAGGCTCAGGACGGGTAACTACCAATAATAAGTTGATTGAAATACAACTTAAAAACAAGATTAAAACATCAAAACATTAAAATGCAGCCTCATCACAGGAGAAGAAAGAAAAAAGAAAAAAAAGAGGGGGAGGGAGTCAAATTGATTCTAAGCCAAAGGCCAGGTGGAACAACTCTGTCTTACAGGCCCTGCGGAAAGAAATCAGATTCCACAGGGCCCTGGTCTCATGAGGCAGAGCGTTCCACCAGGCCGGAGCCAGTGTTGAAAAGGCCCTGGCTCTGGTTGAGGCTAATCTAACTTCCTTAGGGCCCGGGACCACTAGGGTGTTGCTATTTATGGACCTTGAGGCTCTCCGTGGGGCATACCGGGAGAGGCGGTCCCGTAGGTACGAGGGTCCTAGGCCGTGAAGGCCTTTAAAGGTAAAAACCAGCCCCTTAAATCTGACCCTGTACTCCACCGGGAGCCAGTGCAGCTGGAGAAGCACTGGGTGAATATGCTCCCATTGCAGAGACCCCGTGAGGAGCCTTGCTGCAGCATTCTGCACCCGCTGGAGTTTCTGGGACAGCTTCAAGGGCAGCCCTGCTTAGAGCAAATTACAGTAGTCAAGTACCAATGATACCTAATTCTGTGCTCCTGGTACCAATAGTAGTCAAGTACCAATGATACCTAATTCTGTGCTACCTTCACTGGGAGGAGAGAGTGTAGGGACAGGAAGGACAGGCAGAGGCAGGTACAGTGTGAACACATGAATGAGACTTTTGGAATGCTCACAAAGGCTTCATCCTGTTTTGAGCAAGCAGAGGGATGCTTGTGCATTTATAATTAGCATTGATGTCATCTATGACAGGTGGGGATCCTGGACACAGGCCCAATATTGTTCCAGAGGCAATCTGGTCTCTTTCTCTCTGAGAGTGGAAGAAGGCCGGGGCATAGATGATGATACAGCAGCCAACAACATCATGTTCATCTGCAAAGATGGAGTGGTGCTGGAGGGTCATGGACTTGACGGGGGTCATTTTGGCTCACTGAGTCGTCGTTGCACTGGTTCTATCTGTGGGATACAGACAAAGGTGGAGGATAAACAAGGCCTGGGTGATGACACAGCACTTAATGATGTACACCTCTACTGCTGTTTCTGAACCTTCTGCGTCGCCACATCTTACCATGTTTCTCTGCTATTTTCAGTAGCCGTGGATGTTAACTATCATTAAATATCAGCTGGAGAATGGTGTGTGTCGATCTGAATTGTGTAACTCTGCACATTTCCCTTCTGAATGAGAGGAAATGAAGAAAAAATTAAACAAGGGGCACAACTGTGCAGGTGTTGGTTAACCAACATACAGATATTGTGCTGAGTCACAGTCTAAATTCATCTTGCTGGTCCTGAAATCAAACATAGCACACTCTGGCGTTTCCAACCTAGAACTGAAATTATTTTGGTGGGTGGGGAAACATGTTTAAATCCCAATTTAGAAAGTAAAATAGCTTGCATTTCCTGTGGGGCTGCTTTTAAAGATGTCAGCTGGTACAGAGTGCATCTGCTTAGTTGCTGGTGTGGGGCAGGAGTAGCCATACTGACTGTTGGAGGCAATATGCCTCTGAATAACACTTGCTGTGAATCACCAATGGGGAAAGCACTGGTTTTTTATTTTCCATAGGCACTTGGTTGGCCACTGTGAGAAGAGAATGTCGGATGAGATGGCTGGTGGACAGATCCAGCAAAACTCTTCTTATGTTAAAAGATCAGAGCACATAATATCTATGCTTTATCAGTGCCATTGCTTACCTGTTCATTTCTGGACTCAATATAAAATGCTGCAGATTACCTGTAAAGCAGCAAGTGGTTTGGGGCCAGGTTATCTGAAGGACCTCCTGCACCCAAATTTATATGCCCGGGCCTTGAGTTTAGATTCTGAAGCCCTGCAGATGCATCTGTCATTCATATCTATTTGAATATCCAGCCCAAAAGGGTGTGTGTGTGTGTGTGTGTGTGTGTGTGTGTGTGTCTATGTAGGACCCGCATACTTGTGAAATTCCCTCACTAGGCAACTATCTCGTGACTCCAGGGATGTTTCTTATACAGTGGTACCTCAGGTTAAGTACTTAATTCGTTCCGGAGTTCAGTTCTTAACCTGAAACTGTTCTTAACCTGGAGCACCACTTTAGCTAATGGGGCCTCCCGCTGCCACTGCGCCGCCGGAACACGATTTCTGTTCTCATCCTGAAGCAAAGTTCTTAACCCAAGGTAATATTTCTGGTAACCTGAAGTGTATGTAACCCAAGGTACCACTGTATCTGTGGGAAGAAATCATAGGGCCACAGTTGAGGTCCTATGTTAAGGGTGAATCAGCTAAACATTGCCTGTTTAATTCATCAGAGGATTCCTATCTGGCAGTTAGAGAAAAATGTGGAGGCACTATTCTGCCCAACTGCTTAGTGAGAAACAAGCCTGCTACTCACTTTTAGATTATTTAGCCAATGAGTAAAGTCCCAGATTTGTATTTGGGATGGTGGTAGGAAGTACAAACCACAGAGACCATAAATCCCCCCCATCCTATTCCTGGTTTGTGTCATTAACATATACTGTTAATTTTTATTTCAGGGATCTTAACATGTGGCACACAAATCTCCCGCCTAGAACTTATATGTTACCCCTCATTCCACTGGAATTTTCTTTCTTTCTGGTAGTGGTTTTTTCCATGATCTGCAGCCTGTGAACTGTAGGTCAGAATGGCTCATTATGGGGCCACTTTGCACCCCACCATGTATGATTCACAAATCTAGACTCAGCATTTAGTGACGTTTCTCCCTTCTTTCACATCTCCTGAATTCTCATTGCAAAGATAGTGAAGAGGTTAAATTTTTGCAGGATTATTTCGCCTTGGATGAGTTCCAGCAACTCTGAGAGGGTTTGGGGAATCCAACTCTTTTGTAAACTTCCTGGCCACTTTTTGACATGATGTGCATTTAATGCAACTCTGTCTTCTGGTGGTATTGCCTGACTTCTTACTGAGTTCTGGAAATAGCAGCACAGCTCAAAGTCCTGGGCTATAAATTCCCAATTTTCTTTAACTTTCTGCACCTCGATTCAGAGCAGATTACTTTCCATGGATTTTACCATCCTGGCTGTGGTCTTCTTGACCCTCTCCTGCTCCCTTGTGCCTGCAGAAGCCCGAAACTATAATTCTATCCTCACAGTGTCAAATGGAGGACCGTGGGGTATTTGGGGTGCAATCCAGTTTTGTCCAGCAGGATCTTATGCTCATGGCTTCTCACTGAAGGTAAGGTTTGCTCCTGGGATGTTGTCACATCCAGCTCTCTCTAAAGTTCTTCCCCTCCTTTCTTTCTGAATGCTTCCCAGAACACAGTTTTAGACCTCCGTGAGGAGGGGGGGTGGAGCATAGACAATGGCTGTACTCTTAAGTCTATTATTCTTCCCCTTTGTCTAAAAGGTGGAGAAGTGTTAAGGAACGATGGGCCAGATATCAGCAACCAGGTGATGGGCTGGTTTCCTCTTCCCCTACCCTGAGGTTGATCAGGAGAGATTCTGTTAAATTCATTTCTTTTCTGGGAAAGTATTCTAGCATGGTTTGTTTCCGTGTGTATGTATGTATGTATGTATGTGTGTGTGTGTGTGTGTTTAGGGGTGCAAGTCCCCCTCAATGCCGCAGGTTGTATGTAAGCGGTTGCATCCTGTTGGCGGCTGGGACCAGTGACCTTTGGGCCAGGTATGGTCAATGAAGCCCTTCCAACTGTCTCACAAGGCAATATCTTTTGGAGGTACTGTATTCAGCTCAGCTTTACTCAAGAGAAGCCTTATGTGATTAATAGACTTTAGTAGTGTTCATTAATGGGACAAATCTGTGTAAAGCTTAGTTGAATACCATTCCTATTTTCCCCACCCCTCATCCCAAGTGATCTGTGCAGGAAATAAGAGCTTTTTCTCAATGGTAAGATTGTTTTCTTTCTGTGCTATGTGGTCAGAATGGGACTCCATGATATTATTGAATGCCACCCCAGTCTCTGAGTGGTGCAAGATTCCAGAGTTTCCAGGCACTTAGCTTGGGTTCATGTTTCCTTTTAGAGTGAGGCTGCTCCTCCCGTTCCGCTGGCACACATGGAGTAAAGAGATCTGTTAGCAGCCGCTCTTCACCTCCATCCTGCAGTTTGTCCTCCACTGAGGCACTTTTCTCCTGCATCCCATTTTCCACACTAGGCTCCCAGGGGGTAGAGAAATCAGTCATCATCAGCTCCTCAGGTAGCTGGTCTCACTGCTGCACTAACTGCTGCTGGAGCATCTACCTGACCTACTCCAGGGAAGTTGCTGTTCCTCCCTTCATTTTGGCATGGGCACACCTTCCTCACAGGTCCACCTCCAGGAAACACAAATCTCACCTTCTGACACCACTGTTGCATACCAGCCCAATTTCCAAGTGGTGCGAGATTCCAGGAGTTCCAAGTGCTTACCCAGGGTTCGGGTTTCCTTTTAGAATAAGGCACAGTAGAGACTGTGGTGTCTTTATGATCTATGGTTTAATTTGCACATATATACAACCTGAGCCTACAATGGAGAGGTTTACAGCATTACCTACAAAAGGGTTTTGCTTCTCTCATAGCCACAGCCTTGGATACAAACAGAAATCAAACATTATTCTCTGGCCCTCTGCTTGCTGCTGTTCATCTACCTCACATCACCAAAAACTCTGCTCTAAAACCCAGGCTTGTCTTTCTAACTATCTAAGAGTTGAAGGATGGGTCCCACCCATTTGGTGTCTGGCACAGAGCCCCTTTTCCTTTGTTCTCTGAATGGGCCATCACCCAGATAATCACCTCATGAGGAAGCTAGCCTGGCATATTTTTCCCAATAGGTAGAGCCAGTTCAAGGCCTTGGGGATGATACAGCACTGAATGGAGTCCGTCTCCACTGCACTGATGGATCAATAATTGAGTCTTCAGTTGGACCGTAAGTAGCTTTCTTGCTTTCATTTCCTCTTTGGTGTAATTGTTTGGAAGACGGGAGGGGCTGACAGGAAATTACTTATGCTGGGTTAAATCAGCACCACCAAAAGGTGAACATCAGGATTCATACTGCCTGTTCAAAACTCTCAAGTGGTATCAACTCTAGCATTTTCCTGGTTTCGAACACTACGTTGCAAGACCACAGAATTCATGGCAAATCCAGCTTGAGGGGCTGGCACTGTTGGACACTTGCTGAGGCCTGTACTCCAGTAGGGGACCCTGTACCAACCTCTGGCTCTTCCTTGCTTAGCTGCCGCTCCTCCTTGCATGTTCACTTAACCTCTCTGAGCAAGTGAGTAGTGCAAGGAGGAAGGAGAATCTGCTCTTCCTGCCCTCTTCATTTGCCATATGTGTTGGACTCAGAGAAGAAGGCAAATGAAGGGGCAGTGATGACACTTAAGGAGGGAAACATTAAGGCAGAGCTTTCCAAACTGTGTGTCACAACACATTTGTGTGTCAGCTGCAGTCTGTAGGTGTGTCGCGTGAACTCTCCCCACACTCCTTCACGAAAAGTTTGGAAAGCTCTGTATTAAGGGGACCTTACTCAAGGCCAAATCTGGACCTGGCTCTGCCTCATGGAAGCCGAGAAACCAAGAGAGACAGACTCCAATTCTATTCAAGAGAACCAGGATGTTCTTAGAAAACACCATATTACTGTCAGGGATTAAATAACTGGAAGGACTAAGTGAAGTTATTTGCTTGGGAGTTGCATTGAGTTCAGTGAGATTTACTTCTAGGTAAAGTGTCCTTACAGGACCACTAATTATTAAAGTACTAGCCCACCTTTCCTCCCAAATATGTACTTTGTTTTAAAAGTACTATTAAAACAAAACTTATTTGAAACATTTGAAAACAATTTTAAACTATCTAAAGCCTACCCCCATTCCCTGTACCTAGGCATATGATGCCCTAGTTGTTGGTGTTTTCTTCTTAACAGCAGAAGTGGAGGATCATAATCCTATATCCCACATTACATCCTCTGAAATATACTGGTTGTTTTGCTTCAGGAGAGTTCTCTAACTTAAAAGAAGTTGAGCCGTAGTAAACTGATCTATGTGCCCTGTCATCTCTCTCCTTTTCCTGTAAATACAGTGGTACCTTGGGTTACATACGCTTCAGGTTACATATGCTTCAGGTTACAGACTCGGCTAACCCAGAAATAGTAACTCGGGTTAAGAACTTTGCTTCAGGATGAGAACAGAAATCGTGCTCTGGCGGTGCAGTGGCAGCGGGAGGCCCCATTAGCTAAAGTGGTGCTTCAGATTAAGAACAGTTTCAGGTTAAGAACGGACCTCTGGAACGAATTAAATATTTAACCCGAGGTACCACTGTAAATAATTTTGCTAGATCATTCTACCAAGCAAGATTTATTGTAATTGGAACATCAAAGTGATATCAAACAGTTTCATAGACTTACTAACTCTACCTAATTCTGGGTTCCTGGCCATGGACTACTGGCTTCACTGGGAGGGGAGAGTGTTGGAGTAGGAAGGAGGGGCAGAGGCAGGTACATTTTGGACATTTGAAGGCAGCAATGGAAAGGCCTTTGAGGCTTTTGGAGCATCCTCTTGGAATGCTCACAAGTGCTTGATCCCATTTGGAGCAAGCAGAGGGATCCTTGTGCATTTCTAATTAACATTAGTATCTTCTTTGACAGGTGGGGATCCTGGAAAGAAATTAAATACTGTCCCCAAGGCAATCTGGTCTCTTTCTCTCTGAGAGTGGAAGAACACCAAGGCAAAGGTGATGATACAGCAGCCAACAACGTCCAGTTCACCTGCCAAGACGGAACTGCACTGACGGGCCAGGGACTTGCCTGGGGTAGATTTGGCTCTTGGAGCAGTCGCTGCTATTCTGGTTCTGTCTGTGGGATCCAGACAAAGGTGCAGGGTTACCAAGGCGAGCGCGATGACACAGCACTTAATGATGTGGAGCTCTTCTGCTGTCGCTGAACGCTATGATGTCTCCTTATCATACAATGTTTCTCTGCTACTTTTCAGTTGTCATGGATGTTAACCACAATTAAATATCAGCTTGAGAATGGTGCGTGTCTATTTTGAACCAAATTACTTAACTCTGCACCTATCACTTCCCAATGAGAGGCAATGAAAAATATTAAATAAGGGGCACAGCTATGCAGGTGTTGATAGTGTTGGAGGCACTATTCTGTCAATTTGCTTAGTAAGAAACCAGCCTACTGCCAACATTCCGTAATTTCAACCAATGATTGAAGTTACAGCTTGATGTTTAGGGGTGGGGTGTGGTGGGGTGTGGGGAGAAGTGCAAGCCACAAAGGTAATAAACCAGGCATAGGCAAACTTGGCCTTCCAGATGTTTTGGGACTACAACTCCCACCATCCCTAGCTAACAGGACCAGTGGTTAGGGATGATGGGAATTGTAGTCTAAAAACATCTGGAGGGCCAAGTTTGCCTATGCCTGTAATAAACTATGGGGGAAACACAACAACTGCCTGCAGAAAGGACTTCCCAGTTGTGTGTGAACATCAGTGTACTTCCTGGTGAAGTGACCACTGTCCCAAATAGCTGATCGAGCAGCAACATTTATATTTCTAACTTGTTATTTTTAACTTGGGTCTTCCTTCCAGGTGTACGTGTGTGTGTGTGTGTGAGAGAGAGAGAAAGAGAGAGAGAGAGAGAGAGAGAGAGAGAGAGAGTCTGTATACATTTTTAAAATCACTCAATCAACACATGTATAGTCCACCATTGTACCTATATTGAGGAGTGATGACCTTAGTGTTAATGTTTCATTGTGCAAATGGAAGCCTCTGAACAGGAGACAATCGCCTGCCCCACTACAGAGATAGACAGCAAGGTGCATCTCTCTGTGTCTAGGCTGGTCAACAGTGAACCTGATTTTCCCTTATTCAGTTTGATCATCTGGTTCCATTGAATTGAATGGATGCATCTTTTGGTGTGGGTGAAAGTGCAGATTCTCATTCATGGCCAATACTTAATGCATGAGAATATTTTTCTGTGATTGGGGCCAACACCACACATGGCTGATCTTGCCTGATTATTAAAGTTGCTGCTATGTCAACTTGCCCAAGAAGCCCTTTGTTAGGGAGATTATTGGTTAATGGTACATAGTGGTCATAACTGTGCATCATGCATATTTGACAATGTTCTTATTGTTATCATTTTTGATCACCAATTCTATAATGCTCAGATGTCGACATTTGCTTCATCATCTGGGATCTGCTGGGATATGGAATATCAGGTTTATCAGGACATGCCCAGTTTCTTAATAATTGACAGTGCTCATCTAATGATGTGTTCTTCTTGGAGTTTGGTAAATATATTGCCGCAGTGTGCAGAAAGAAATTGTCTGGCAGGGCTACTGGTTGAAAGGATAAATAAAAGTTAAGATTTTTTGTTCATGCCAAGCAATCCTGTTCTAAGTGTGAGTTTTACATGTGGCCAAGATGGAGCCTAAATGTTAAACACTGGAACATGCTAGTTCATACTGTTACTGGCTGAACTTGGAGATGAAATGGGAAGGGAAGGAAATGAAGCTTAAATGGAAATGATCGACTTGACTAACAAGTAACTACTAAAAGAGAAGGAACAAGTGAGAGAATAATAGGTTCCCTTTCTATCGCCCCATACTGGTTCAAGGTAACTTGTTGCAAGCATTGTTACTTTAATCCCAACAATTCTTAGGCTTTCCTTCCAACGCAACACTATGTACTGAGTCTGCACTTGTGTGCGACTCATGTGAGTCACACCAAATCGCTCCCCGAAAGGCCTTTTGGGGGCAGAATGCCTTGAAACATGCATTTTGGAGCACCACACAAGATCACTGCCCCCCCCAAGCATTTTTTGTGGGGCAACGATCTTGTGCAGCACCCCAAAATATGTGCATTTGGGCACTATGCCCGAAAAAAGTGTAGTCCAAAATCTCACACGATTGCGGCGGCCATTTTGGCCTCTGTCCTCTCTTTAAAAAGGCATGTCCCATTTTTTTTCCTGGGCAGTTGATGGATATGCTTAGGCAGAGGAAATCTGTAGTTGACTATGTGTTGGTACAAAGATTTTGGATTGTGCCCTTACCAGCTTCCTATCCTTTCCATTCTCCTGAAATCTGGAAATGCAGAGAGGTTCTCATCATCTTTATATGTTTTTAAACTTTAGGTTTTCTGGAAGATCTCCAATAAGGTACTTGCCATAATGTTTGGCCTTCCCATCAACAAGTTGTGAAAAAAAACCCCACTGGTAAACACTATGACTGTGGGTGCTGGTTGCAGGGACAGAAGTTTGTCACAAGCACAGCTGCTCCAAGTTTTGATTGACATACAGACATTTTACAAAAAACGACAACCCCAAAACAAAAAACCCCAATCTTTTCACGAAGTGTTACAGATGGTGGTGGGAGGTCGACACAAATAAATCTTTGGTATTGCACAGAATGCAGCTTATATAAATTAGAAACCTGGTTGGTTGTGATTTACCATGTGAGTTCTAAGCTTGCCTGCTGCCCACACGTGGTCCTTTTGGCACTAGGTGGTGTTGTGGGTTAAACCACAGAGCCTAGGACTTACCAATCAGAAGGTTGGTGGTTTAAATCCCCGTGATGGGGTGAGCTCCCGTTGCTCGGTCCCTGCTCCTGCCAACCTAGCAGTTTGAAAGCACGTCAAAGTGCAAGTAGATAAATAGGTACCGCTCTGGCGGGAAGGTAAACAGTGTTTCCGTGTGCTGCTCTGGTTCACCAGAAGCGGCTTAGTCCTGCTGGCCACATGACCCGGAAGCTGTACGCTGGCTCCCTTGGCCAATAAAGCGAGATGAGCACCGCAACCCCAGAGTCGGCCACGACTGGACCTAATGGTCAGGGGTCCTTTTACCTTTACCTTAAATATCTTTTTATTGACACATCCACTTTAAGGTTCCTTCTTTGAGTGCCCCCACCAAGTAAGGTGTGATGGGTGGAAAGAGTCTTTTTTGGTAGTGGCATCCTGGTTATTTAATGCCTTGCCCAGCTAAGCTTATCTGGGTGGCCCCAATACTATAATCCTTTTGGCATTAAGTGAAGACCTTTCCATTTTCCCAGGTGTTTTATGTTTTTAAAGATATTTCAGTGCTTTTGGGTGCTTGGTATGGTTTGCTGCTGTGATTTCTAACTGCGATTATTTGTTTCCGGTAATTATTGAACAATATATGAATGTTGTCAGTAGGATAAAGAAACACATACATTCATGCTTCCTCAAAGGGACTGGTTGTATTCCACTGGTTACAACAGGCTCAGAGCCAAATTCAGGCAAACTGAAGGACAGGAGATTCTCTTCTCAGGGATATACTAGATACTGTACCTTATTGCAAGTACCTCAGTAATTTATCATTCATTAAGTAGCACAAGGCTGCTCTGGTTTTGGATTTTAAATATATCACAAGATATATTCTTAAATACCAAGGTGTACCTTTCTTTTGAGTGGCTTATCTTCTTTCCTTCCAAAGGAAGCAAATGAGAAAAGGGAAATGTGTGCTTTTCCTTCACAAGACCCATGAATTCATTCAAAGGGTGATTGTTGCTTAAACACATTGTTGATTATTACAGTCTGTACTCATTTATGTTTCTTGCAGATACATGTGCCAGAAATCCATAGGCCAATCAAGGTACTGGATGGATAGCAAGAGGGAAATAACCAATTGCATTACGTACAAAAGGGAAAGGTTAGAGTGCCAAAGTACACGCTAAGGCTAATTGGTTTTGGAGGCACATACTCAAGGAAACCAGTGTTGGGGATGGGCAAGTTATAGAAACTCTATAGTCGTTCCTCTGCTCTCTGCTCAGCTATGGATAGTGAAAGGTGAACCTGTCCAGACCAGTTTCTCACTATTTCAGTCTTAAGCTAATTCTTCACACTTCCGTATCAATTTGCCTTTCTTTCTTTCTTTCTTTCTTTCTTTCTTTCTTTCTTTCTTTCTTTCTTCTCAAGAAAATTCACCAGCATTTCAGTACATTTTCCTCCCAATATGCACATGTAAATTTTTGCATGTAATGTTGCCTAATACGGGCAACTCTGCAGAGCAATTTTCCTTAATATAATGTGTTTCTATGTTGTATATGCATTTTTAGACATACTTACCCCAATATATGCTTTTCTTTACATCTTACTTGCCTGGAGAACTGTAGTGCAAAATTCAGAGAAGCACAAATTTCAAAGGATGGCTGTGTTTTTGTTCTAGTGTTGTTTCAGAAACTCAGTCAGGCAAGTTCACCTTTAAACGCAAACCGAATTGAATTTCTCCCCTATCCCTAGCTATGGGGCAGCCAAGCATGGCAGCTGCTGTTCAGGAGGATGACTCCCACATTGCCCTTCCCTGTTCTGCCCTATGCTCTCTGCCCTGCCTACATTCATATTTTACTGCTTAGCTCAAGGCATCTCCAATTCTGACAACTGCATTGCTCTCCTATCACCAGCCTGGCAAGATTAGAGGGAAGTGGTGCAAGGATTGTAACATGGGATTAGACCAGTTACCACACTTGAATGAGGTACAAAGGTGGTGGAGGACCCACCTGAATTGTTCTTGTGGTAAGTGTTTTTAGGTGGGGAGGCAAGCCTCAAAATGCGGGGGGGCACTTTTCACACTATTTTCCAGCAGTATCTTAATGTGCCACCCCTGTTTTCAGTGACCCACCCTCTTCCTTGAGTTACCCCGAAAGGGGTGGCGGCAATAAAAGTTTTGCCTATCACATGCCCTCCAACATTCCTCTGAAGAAAACTGGAACCCATGTCTTTAGGTGCTGCACTTCTGTGGGAGCCAGCTGCCATGTGTGGCAGCAAGGCAGCAAGTCTTTGGGTGCCATGCTCTTGCTGGACTTGCATGAGAACTCAGCGCTACTGCAAGTGTCAACACTGGCTGCAAGTGCCACCTCCTCCCTCCCTGGGCATGGTGGTGGTGCTGGACAGGGGAAACGGGATAGTCCAGGATAAAATCAGAAGCCAGGATAGCTTCTGTAATTCCAGGATATCCTGGGAAAATTGGGACACTTGAAGGGTATGTATTCAGAGTGAGGGTAATGCT